TGAACACAACCACAAGCAACAGCCGAACACGACTTCACGCGCCCAGTCCCCGCCATGCTGGCGAAGGAGAGTAAATCAGTTGGAGTCCTAGATCTTTCTACGGCTCGAAAGGCCTTCCTCAGGGACAAACAAAGCGAGACTAGCTGATTCGCTAATTGGCTCTGGCCAAACCTACCTGCTGGGAAGCAGCAGGCTGTCATGCTGCCACTCCCCTGCATGGGCTACTCAGAACGTGGGCTCTGTGTGGAGCGCAAGCTTGAAACGGTCTGCATCCTGGGCCTCGCCTGCGAGCTCAGAGGAAAGTTCCGGGACCCATCCAATCTCGAATGCTTGGCCCTCTCAATAAGTGAAAGCCACAGCGCGGAAGAGGGCGGGAACCCTACCAACAAGGGATGAACCTGTGCGCCTCTGCGTGTGCGGCTCACAGTCATAGCTCCCGTGCGAACTATTGCAACGCTTGTTGAACGTAGCCCATCTGCGCTTCCCTTCACTCCCTTTTCAACCTCAAGAAAAGAACAAACCAACATTTGCTCAAACATGTGATGATGCTTGGGATGGTTTGCCACTATTCCCTCTTGTCCTTAGAAAGACGCACGCTTGGAGAAGCTTTCTTAGGCCTCCGATTTCCGGTCATCTCCTTCCAGGCGCCGAAGGCTTCTGAGCACCCGCGGCCAGTGCTTGGTCTCCCAAGCCTCGGTTGCAAACAAGGCGGTGCCCAAGATTTAGATGTTTGACATGTTGGACTATGCTTGTTGTTTGCTTGATTGCTTGGCTGTTTGTTGTGCGGTTCTTTCTGCTGTCTGTTGCTTGTCTGCGTGCTGGCTCCTTTGCTGTGCATGTGCGCTGTGAATGTGCCAACTAGATTTGCTCGGCTGCTGGTTCGGGTTTGGTTTGGTTCCGGTTTGATTCGGCCTAGTTTGGCTGTCACAACAACACTGGAACCACAAGCCATCATGCGCAAAAAGAATCTACAAGAAGGAAGACAGCAAGCGTCGGAAAGTAGCCACAGGTCGGCCAAGAACAACACCGCGGGCAAACAGTCTCAGTTCCAACATGGATTAAGAGCCAAGGGAAGCCTTTCCAAACATTGGACAAAAAGGAAAACGTTTTGAACAACTGCACTGACAAAGGGCCCTTCTGTTTTTCTTTCTGGGCTTGGATCAGGGTGGATGGATGGGGCAAGCGCCCAACATTCTGTTATTTGTGCATTCAACTTTGTACAGCAAAAGGCGCCTGAAAGCTAATGACTGGCCAACATTGCAGGTGGCAAGAAGGTTCTTGCAGGGCTTCACACCCTGGAGCACCCCCTTACAGGCCTACTGCAACTGGTGGTCAGGAGGTTGGCTGATCCAAATCCGGTAGATGGCGTTGATCTCAAAGGATTTGATCACAATGTTCCCCCGGTCTTCCGCTGGGGCTCCCTGCGTGCAACCGCTCTGCGACCTTTGAAGTCCTGAGCCGAGCAGAAACCGGGATGTGCTGGCCGACACGCGCCCGATGAAAAAAAAAACATGCCCACCACAATCCGGCTGGCCACATGTACAATCTCTCTCCTTCTCTCTCTTTCCACTTTTGGGTGGGGGTGCGTGTATGAAACCATGCTAAACCACATCGGCACGGAGAACCTCGAGCTTTTCTTGAGAGAACAACTTAGACTGAACAAATCCTAAAAACCTCCAAGTTTCAACAACAAAGAAACCATGCCAAACCCCATGGCTCCAGATCCTGAGCTGCCGAGTTTTCCAAGAAAACAAGCAAGCCAAAATGGCCCCAGGTCTTGGGCTGTGCCCACATGGGGTCTGTTGATATGGAAAACTCGAGGATGTTTTGCCCATTTTCGAAAATATGCGGAAATAGATGCACTAGAACTTACACCAGGGGTCCGAATCAACATATGACGCACTGCAGCCGCCCAGCGCCCGGAAATGTACAAGAACCAGAACGCTCAGTATTTTCTCGAAGGGGGGAAGTAAACAAACGCTGGCAGGCGAAGCAGATTTGACGGCTCAGTCAGAAAAGAATGAAAAGTCAAGCGGCCAATCTTCAGCCATGTTTTGGCAGTCGTTCCCGTCAAGTGAATCGATGCCCTGCTTGACGCGGTTGGGTTGTCGGATGCGCGCCGACACTTCTCTTTACAGGTCAGCCATGTCAGCCGCTCATGGCAGTCAAACACGAGCAATTCAAGATCGCCCGGGCCGAAACAACAGGTCTTCTATGCGCACGAGGGCTGTGTGTCCTTGAGTGCGCGTGTGTTCGTGTCCCGTGCTGCTTGAGCTCCTTACGGGTCTTCACCCATGTGCACGGACGGGGCTGTACGGAAGTACTGCACCCACCCAGACCCGTCCACCCACAGACCCGTCCACCAACCCACCCACCCACCAACCCAACCCACCCCAGCAGACACAGAACCAGGCAGTGATGTAAAGCCAGGGCGCCGGGTGGCTATTGCGCCAAATATGAACGTCTGGTCAAATAAGATGTTCATTAACACAAAACTAGCGTTTAAATATACCGAAATAAGGAGCGCATTGAACTAGTTGGTTTTCTTATACCTTCAATTGATACAACTGAAACTAGCTAGAAGAAACAAGAAGACTTTAACTCTATTCGATTCCATGTTCAGCCTAGTTAGACTTCAAGTAAAATCACGTTTGGTACTTTAGCGTAAGACTCAACAACGATGCTGGAATTGTGTCCTGTTCTGTTTCATGTTGGTGTCCAATCGAATTTTCACAAAACTCCTTTGAAACGAGCATTCTAATTGGAACAGCTCATTGAACTCCATTTACTTTCTAACTGGAGATTAATTAAGCACATACTTGGAAAGGAGCTGCCGTTGAAATGCTAATGTGAGAGAAATCACGTTTGGTCACGTTCTTTGATTGGTTTTAAACACGGCCCCATGGCGTTCAGCTCCCGATGAACAAAAACAACAGCTTCTGGCAACTGGTGCAGACATCAACGCATGAAGCCGAGCAAGGCACGCACGCACACTCACACGCTCATGCGCCGCACACGCGAGCACACACACACAAACACAACGACGCAAAAGCAGAAAACACATACAAACATACACACAGACACGCAAACACCGATACACACATACAACACCCATGCATCCGCACACACACACACACACACACACACACGCGCGCGCATGAACGCTGTAAGAAGGCCCAAGCACCCATGCGCACGGGGCCGTCAATTCATCGCAACAGGACATCGCACATTTTTTTTTGCAAGTGCAATTATTGTTAGCACGCTATGTTTTGAGAAAGGCACGGAGTGGAGCCAAGCGGCTGCAGCAGCTGGCGCTGCATGTCCAGGGCTGTGGCAGAGCCCTTCATGGACATGCCGTGCTCTATGAAGGTGTCGATGTCCACCTCCTGGCAACTGGAGCCATGTGACTCCAAAGTTGCATGAACCCTACCCGCTACCTCAATTTGTACAACTGCAACGTCAAACGGACAAAATGCAAAATGCGCCTCGATCGGATGTGTGCTGCACACGTCCGGAGCTTCTTTTTGAACATTATTGAACGCCTTTGAACGCCTTGTGAACGCTTTTTTGGGCCGGTTTGGACCGGTCCCGGACGGGCAAAGTAGCATTGGTTTTCCAATTGAGACAATAACTTGTGTTTTGCAACAAATTCGCGTGTGGTGTTACAATTGTACAAGCCAGGGGTAGCAGGCCATGGGTTTTGGCTTGGCTCACTCTTTGGCCGGGTGGGACGGACAGGGCCATCCGATCTGGGCGTGGATCCTTGGAGTTTTCGGCGATAATGTCAAAGAACTTCTCCGCGTCGTGCATCTCCAGGCCAAGGGAGTGCATGTACGAAACCACCCGCGCCTACGAGATGCGTCTGGATTCTCAGCATAGTTTTACGTTGTTGTACACAAATTCTCTGAGCGCAAGGATTCCCCCCTTTTTGTTTGCATGGCAAGGCATGAGCCTTGTTTGGCTCAGGACTCCCGAAAATCCCTCAATCCAATGCCTCAAAAGGTCCTGCTCAAACCCAGGTCGTAAGGAAGTCTTGCGCCGACACGCTTACGCGAGCTCCGCCACATGCTTGCCCTACGCACGGGTCCCTTTTGACCATCGCCCCTTCAATCGCCAGGCAAATTGGTTTTGGACCCTTCGAGGCGAATGTCAACTACGCAATGGACGCTTTGCCTGGATGTGCCGCTTTTCTTCTTTTCGGGACTGCCCCGGCAGTAGTGGCACCTGCCTCAAGGAAAGTATCTTCAATGATCTTTGCTTCTATACAACACCTGTTGATGGGTGATAGCGCTCGTGCTTGCAAGGCAGAAGGGTATTATGACATGGTCAAATCCGATAGCAACTCTGCGCTTGGGGCCCGACCGCCCCGAACGGTCAGGTGCCACCAGGTTGCATCCTGCATGTCGTTGAGGAACTCATGCTTTGTGATCATGCCGGAGCCATCCTTGAGAGCGTAACACAGTGACAAATCGGCAGATTCCGCAAGGTGTCTACCAAAAGCGGTCTACCCCATGCTCTTTTGAAACCACGCATTGGAATTGGGCCCAAAGGGCGGTGAATTTGCTTGCCGAGCCATCTGGCCGTCTCGCTGGCGTTAGGCTCAGAATGAGACGGCAATGACCCTCGAACTGCGCGCTTTGGAGATATATTCGAAGAATAGCTTGAGAGCAGAAGGCCTTGCAAACAAGCCAAGGGAAACATCATGGCCCAGCCGCATTGCCTTGACACTCATCCTTGTGGGCCAAGGCAAAAATCAAGTGTTGAAACTAGCTGACATTGGACTTCGTGATTAACCCGACTGTCTTGTGACACCGCCGCCGGGGAGACAACGTTTCTAGTCAATGCGCAACTTTGCCTTGCGGACTTGCTGCGCTCAAGCTGGAAAAGCTGCCTCAAGCACTCAATCTGCACGCCTGTCAGCGCAGCCACAGGCGTGTGTTGATTTCCATTTTACCAAGCCGGACACACGGCCTCCCACCCGGGCGAAAAACATGACCGGA